AGAAGCTGCTGTAAATTAGAGACTTGCATTTGCTGCAGTTATGGAAGAACTTTCTAAGATTCTAGTGATTCAAAAGACATTTCTTAATATTAACAGATTTGTAAAAGAACTGAAATGTAGGCAGGCAACTTAAAAAAACTCCTGCACTTTACATTGGCAGTATTCTTTCCAAGAAATGAGAGGAACTGTTACTGTAAGACTCAGCACAGTTGCCAAATATTCAGGGCCAGATTTCCAGGTAGTATAAATCAACACAAGGGCTGATTTCTGCTAACAATAACAGAGCATGATCCTTAAATCTGACAGATTTCAGGACAGTGAGGATATTGTAAGATGAGAAAAACATTATAATTCTGAAATACTTAATTTCACATTTTAAAGCTTTAAAAGCTGCAAGCCATAAACAGCAGAGATTAGTCCTTTGCTCCTGCATTAGCAGAAGTTGGGAGGAGAGGAATTCTTTTATCTTAGTTCCCTGAAAATCAGAAGTCTTCATTTACTGCAAGCAGAATAATTTAACTGTAGTGACTGAATAATGCTACATGTTTATCATTGACTAACAAGCTCTAACGAGCAGAAATGAAGTTGAGACTTACATGCGGGAATGACTTTCTGAGATGTTTGAACTGTAAATAGAACCTGTAGAAGTGAAGCTGGCTCACTTCATGTAGAACAATGACCACAACCTGAGCCAGGTGTCTTTGGTGATGAATATGACACCAGCTGCACCAAAATTCAAGCAAAACAGTTAACAATAGTTTTAAAAACGTGGGCCTAGTCCCATTCTTGTACAAATCAAAGACATAACTCCCACCATCTCCAACAAGAACAGAATTTCACTCGCGTGCATCTCCTTTGCTCCACATAAGGACCTCCATATGCAGAAGACGACAGACACTGTGTAGCTAAGCTCTACTATAGTATTCATCTCCAAGACACAACTTGCCTTTTTTCCATGTAGTATAAAAATATGAATAGGAAAACATCCAAATAAACCTATGACCGTTAAATCTGGGAGAAAAAAAATTCTGGTAGAATTTATTGCCAAAAATGTACTTGCTGAAAACCATTTTTAAATAGCCTGAAATTAAATCAGGTATTTTGTTTTCAATATTTAGTTTCGTTTTTGAGTTCCGCTGTAGCCATCAGGCATTATCTCATCCAAGATGCCTATATTCTTACACTCTAAATGAGGCACTACAATTCAGGTCAAAAAGGCTGGAAAAATGTCATTTTGATACTTGAGACAGCACATTGCATAGAACAAAATGTTCCAACATTTTCCAATGTGAACTGTTTCATTTTAATGTTTCTGACACTGTACATTTTTGGAATTGTCATTCTGTGAAAAAAATGTAGTGGTGTTTTTGCCCCAATCCAGTGAAACAAAATTCCAAAACAGTGAATTTTTTCATAGTGAAAATTCTGTATTTCAGCCAGCTCGAGTTATATAGTATGCATACAGATGCAGTAATATGTGAAGATCAGGATGGTGACTGTTGCAAAGTACATTAAAAACCCCCCAAAAACAAAACATTAACCTATGGGTCTTTCAGTAGGCTAGCAGCACTACAAGCTGCTTCAGGCTGGACATAAGGAAGAACTTGTTTACTGTCTGAGCCCCCAAGGTCTGGAATGGCCTGCCACCGGAGGTTGTTCAAGCACCTACTTTGAACGCTTTCAAGAAAAACCTGAATGTTTTTCTTGCTGGGATCCTATGACCCCAGCTGACTTCCTGCCCGACACAGGGGGCTGGACTCGATGATTTTCCAAGGTCCCTTCCAGCCCTAACGTTTATGAAATCTATGAAACTGCTGCCAGAATACAAACATACATTATATACCTGGGTTGAGCTGCATTGTGATGTTTTCCCAAAGCTGCGTACTTTAAGAACTCATACACCTGGTCATGGCTGATTTCACAGTCCTCACCAAACAATTCTGCTGACAAGCGTGCCTTTTTCTCCTAAGAAAGGTAAGCCCGTGTGAAGAACCATTCATGTGTACCAAGCAACAGTGTTCATTGTAAAAAGGCAAGGGATTAGGATGAAAGTGGCCCTTCACAGTCTACATAGGTATTAAGAACATTTAAAATAAATACCACCGTATCTTCTCACATACAACATGCCCTGGAAAATAATTCATACCCTGTAGCCTAATCTTCAGCTGACCCACCCTTCCTTTCTTCCTTAAAGTTGAAACCCTAACTGCTCTTGAAAACTTTGATTTTTAAAAAAGCTAAAGAGTCTCCAAGGCTGTGAAGTAGGAGGAGAGGCCTGTACTAGCCAGCAAACAGCAAAAGAGCCAGCAACACAGGTATTGGGGATGATAATCCTGCCCTGTGACCCGACAGCCACATGTATGGGTTTGAATTGGCCTGTGAAGGGGGTCACCCAGTCATACCTGCTGTTGACAAAACCCAGGACCACACCCCAGGTCATATGGCACGGTAGCCCCAACTCTAGGCCCAGCCTGGGCTGTGCTAGCACAGAAGTGCCCATGTGTCTGGCACTGACCCTCTGCCCCCGAGATAAAATATCAAGTCCTTCATTATGTTAACATGCCCTTTGTCATATTATATTGAACGAGTAAAATCTGCTAACACAGAATAATGTTGGCACATCTTTTAAAACCACTTAAATATAAAATAAGAAACAAGATCACAAAATATGAGCTTCAAGTGTTTTGTTTTTTTAAGTAAAGCAATTCTTACATCAGTTGACTCATAATTACATTGCTTCTCTTCTTTCATGCCAGGGTGGACAAACATGCAGTGACACTACTGTTTAGATGAGCTCTAATTAGAAATCTACAAAACAGCCAGCAACAGTTTCAGGTTCAAAGATTACTTGGCAACTTGCAGGTCTTCCAGCCTCTAATTAGATGCAAATAAGACTCAGCTTCCACAGTTAATGTGCTTAAACTTTTCACATGTTGGCTATCATGCTAATTTTAAGTGTTATATCTAAAAATGTATTGTGCCATTAGAGCTCTGAGCTTGTGTCATATGACCTTGCTTCACCTTCTAACAGGTGTAAATTCACTGAGGTATCTGGATACAGCACTTCTCTGAAATTGCTGGTATGGTCACACTGACTTCAAAAGTCCCTGGTTGACTGGTATAGATCATGTTCATCTTTGTGATTTTTGTAAGATATATTTAAGAACAGAACAACTGCCATTTACTGGGTTGGTCCTTAGATCCACCTTGCCCACTATTCTGTCACATGGTCCTCCAGAATCTCCTGCTGAGGTTCTGGCTGCACTGTTCCCCTAGCCTCTTTACTTATGCACTCCCTGTCCATGGCCCCATCAAGTCCTGGGACCTCCTGGTCAACCTCCTCCTGGCCCTGGCCAAGCTGGCTATGTGACCAGGGAGGCTCTGGCTGGGAAGGTCCCCAGGGACTGCTTTCTTTGCCCTGGTTTATTCCCCTCTCCAGGTACAGTATCGCTGGGCAGTGTCCACTGGCTCCTCGGACTTGTTCAGGGCACTGTCCGGTGTGCTCAGCTCAGTGTCCCCCCTTGGCACTCTTGAACCTTTGACCAGCAGTCCTGTCCCTGTTCTTTTATTATTTGTCCCTGGTAATCAGTTATCACCTTTTCTGTAAACTCCGCACGCGTGGGAGGCCACTAGGTTACTTGGTGGGCGCAGCCCCATGTCCCTGAAGGCGACAAATAGGCCTGTGTCACACAGTGGCAGAGAGCAGATGTTGAAAAGTTTTTTTATGGCGGACTTTCAGGTGGATATTCATGGCTGCAAGTTTTCCTAGTTGAAGTCAAGTTTATCATCACTTCCAGCTGATAAAGTCACTTAGATCTAATCAAATCTAATAACACTTGTCTAGGATCATAAACTAATTTCCTTTGGTTGGAGATGGGCCTGTCACAAACCCCTAAGATGCAAATGCTCAGTGCAGAGAAATCTGGGGCCAAACCCTTCTCTGCTACAGGCTTTTGCCCTTGGATTCGCACATCCCAAAACTTATGATTTCAGTGGAAGTCAGGTACTAAGGTCCCCATGCTAAATCTGCCCTAACTGCTCGTGAAGATGTTTTAGGTTGCAGGCAGCAAATGCTTTGGACCACGCCAAAGAACTCCGGGGTGACAAAGACTCAGGGTGAGTAGCAGCAGACGACAGGTGAGAAAATTCTACTTTTGGCATAAAGTAATGCAATAAAATCTCAGCGGTGTTTTAAAGGGGAACAGCCAGCCCTCTGCTTCCATAAAATGACAGACATCTACATCTAACATCCATCCAGAATCAGAGAAAATTAGGGTTGAAAGAGACCTCAGGAGGTCAGTTACTCCAACCCCCTGCTTGAAGCAGGACCCATCCCCAACGAGATCATCCCAGGCATGGCTTTGTCCAGCCGGGTTTTAAAAACCTCCCAGGATGGGGAGTCCGCCACCTCTCTGGATAACCTATCCCAGTGATTTACTACTCTCCTAGTGAGAAAGTTATTCCTAATATCTAACCTAAACTTCTCTTGCTGCAACTTGAGCCACCTCAGAGAGCAGTCCAGTTCCATCCTCTTTCAACCCCCCTTCAGGTAGGTGAAGGCTGCCAGAGCACCCCCCTTCCGCCTCCCCGGAGACCACGTGGCGCAGCCCCGCCCCCAGCCCGGGCGGCCGCGCCGCTCCGGGGCAAGGGCCACACTCTGCCCCGGCCCGTGCGCACCTTTGCCCCACGCGGGCCGCCCTGCTCCGGCCGCCTCCTCTTGCCCCGCCGCCGGGGGGCGTCCTCGGCGCTGTCGCTACCCTCGCGAGGTCTCGCCGGGCCGCGCGGGCGGTCGGCCTCCTCCATGGCCTCGGTGGTAACGGGAAATGGGCCCCTGGGGAGGAAGCAG